CCACTGCTAGACTTCATCGTTGGTGGAGAGTACCCTAAGGCCGATTCTGTGATCCATCGCCTTCAAAATCCAAGGAAAATGGACTTTCCAAAAATCGCCCGAAATCGGTGATGGTACCCCTTTCGAATCTGGCAAAAATTGACCCGGAAGTTTTCAGCCCGAATCGGTGTTTAATAGACTTATCCATCCCTAAAGAATAGCCTCAGGCTGAATCCGTGATCTGCACACTTCAAAATCCAAGGAAAATGGCCTTTCGAAAAAGTCGCCTGAAAATTACGAAAATGCCCTCCGGAAAAGTTCGACCAAATTTCCGCCCAAATCGGCCACTGCTAGACTTCATCGTTGGTGGAGAGTACCCTAAGGCCGATTCTGTGATCCATCGCCTTCAAAATCCAAGGAAAATGGACTTTCCAAAAATCGCCCGAAATCGGTGATGGTACCCCTTTCGAATCTGGCAAAAATTGACCCGGAAGTTTTCAGCCCGAATCGGTGTTTAATAGACTTATCCATCCCTAAAGAATAGCCTCAGGCTGAATCCGTGATCTGCACACTTCAAAATCCAAGGAAAATGGCCTTTCGAAAAAGTCGCCTGAAAATTACGAAAATGCCCTCCGGAAAAGTTCGACCAAATTTCCGCCCAAATCGGCCACTGCTAGACTTCATCGTTGGTGGAGAGTACCCTAAGGCCGATTCTGTGATCCATCGCCTTCAAAATCCAAGGAAAATGGACTTTCCAAAAATCGCCCGAAATCGGTGATGGTACCCCTTTCGAATCTGGCAAAAATTGACCCGGAAGTTTTCAGCCCGAATCGGTGTTTAATAGACTTATCCATCCCTAAAGAATAGCCTCAGGCTGAATCCGTGATCTGCACACTTCAAAATCCAAGGAAAATGGCCTTTCGAAAAAGTCGCCTGAAAATTACGAAAATGCCCTCCGGAAAAGTTCGACCAAATTTCCGCCCAAATCGGCCACTGCTAGACTTCATCGTTGGTGGAGAGTACCCTAAGGCCGATTCTGTGATCCATCGCCTTCAAAATCCAAGGAAAATGGACTTTCCAAAAATCGCCCGAAATCGGTGATGGTACCCCTTTCGAATCTGGCAAAAATTGACCCGGAAGTTTTCAGCCCGAATCGGTGTTTAATAGACTTATCCATCCCTAAAGAATAGCCTCAGGCTGAATCCGTGATCTGCACACTTCAAAATCCAAGGAAAATGGCCTTTCGAAAAAGTCGCCTGAAAATTACGAAAATGCCCTCCGGAAAAGTTCGACCAAATTTCCGCCCAAATCGGCCACTGCTAGACTTCATCGTTGGTGGAGAGTACCCTAAGGCCGATTCTGTGATCCATCGCCTTCAAAATCCAAGGAAAATGGACTTTCCAAAAATCGCCCGAAATCGGTGATGGTACCCCTTTCGAATCTGGCAAAAATTGACCCGGAAGTTTTCAGCCCGAATCGGTGTTTAATAGACTTATCCATCCCTAAAGAATAGCCTCAGGCTGAATCCGTGATCTGCACACTTCAAAATCCAAGGAAAATGGCCTTTCGAAAAAGTCGCCTGAAAATTACGAAAATGCCCTCCGGAAAAGTTCGACCAAATTTCCGCCCAAATCGGCCACTGCTAGACTTCATCGTTGGTGGAGAGTACCCTAAGGCCGATTCTGTGATCCATCGCCTTCAAAATCCAAGGAAAATGGACTTTCCAAAAATCGCCCGAAATCGGTGATGGTACCCCTTTCGAATCTGGCAAAAATTGACCCGGAAGTTTTCAGCCCGAATCGGTGTTTAATAGACTTATCCATCCCTAAAGAATAGCCTCAGGCTGAATCCGTGATCTGCACACTTCAAAATCCAAGGAAAATGGCCTTTCGAAAAAGTCGCCTGAAAATTACGAAAATGCCCTCCGGAAAAGTTCGACCAAATTTCCGCCCAAATCGGCCACTGCTAGACTTCATCGTTGGTGGAGAGTACCCTAAGGCCGATTCTGTGATCCATCGCCTTCAAAATCCAAGGAAAATGGACTTTCCAAAAATCGCCCGAAATCGGTGATGGTACCCCTTTCGAATCTGGCAAAAATTGACCCGGAAGTTTTCAGCCCGAATCGGTGTTTAATAGACTTATCCATCCCTAAAGAATAGCCTCAGGCTGAATCCGTGATCTGCACACTTCAAAATCCAAGGAAAATGGCCTTTCGAAAAAGTCGCCTGAAAATTACGAAAATGCCCTCCGGAAAAGTTCGACCAAATTTCCGCCCAAATCGGCCACTGCTAGACTTCATCGTTGGTGGAGAGTACCCTAAGGCCGATTCTGTGATCCATCGCCTTCAAAATCCAAGGAAAATGGACTTTCCAAAAATCGCCCGAAATCGGTGATGGTACCCCTTTCGAATCTGGCAAAAATTGACCCGGAAGTTTTCAGCCCGAATCGGTGTTTAATAGACTTATCCATCCCTAAAGAATAGCCTCAGGCTGAATCCGTGATCTGCACACTTCAAAATCCAAGGAAAATGGCCTTTCGAAAAAGTCGCCTGAAAATTACGAAAATGCCCTCCGGAAAAGTTCGACCAAATTTCCGCCCAAATCGGCCACTGCTAGACTTCATCGTTGGTGGAGAGTACCCTAAGGCCGATTCTGTGATCCATCGCCTTCAAAATCCAAGGAAAATGGACTTTCCAAAAATCGCCCGAAATCGGTGATGGTACCCCTTTCGAATCTGGCAAAAATTGACCCGGAAGTTTTCAGCCCGAATCGGTGTTTAATAGACTTATCCATCCCTAAAGAATAGCCTCAGGCTGAATCCGTGATCTGCACACTTCAAAATCCAAGGAAAATGGCCTTTCGAAAAAGTCGCCTGAAAATTACGAAAATGCCCTCCGGAAAAGTTCGACCAAATTTCCGCCCAAATCGGCCACTGCTAGACTTCATCGTTGGTGGAGAGTACCCTAAGGCCGATTCTGTGATCCATCGCCTTCAAAATCCAAGGAAAATGGACTTTCCAAAAATCGCCCGAAATCGGTGATGGTACCCCTTTCGAATCTGGCAAAAATTGACCCGGAAGTTTTCAGCCCGAATCGGTGTTTAATAGACTTATCCATCCCTAAAGAATAGCCTCAGGCTGAATCCGTGATCTGCACACTTCAAAATCCAAGGAAAATGGCCTTTCGAAAAAGTCGCCTGAAAATTACGAAAATGCCCTCCGGAAAAGTTCGACCAAATTTCCGCCCAAATCGGCCACTGCTAGACTTCATCGTTGGTGGAGAGTACCCTAAGGCCGATTCTGTGATCCATCGCCTTCAAAATCCAAGGAAAATGGACTTTCCAAAAATCGCCCGAAATCGGTGATGGTACCCCTTTCGAATCTGGCAAAAATTGACCCGGAAGTTTTCAGCCCGAATCGGTGTTTAATAGACTTATCCATCCCTAAAGAATAGCCTCAGGCTGAATCCGTGATCTGCACACTTCAAAATCCAAGGAAAATGGCCTTTCGAAAAAGTCGCCTGAAAATTACGAAAATGCCCTCCGGAAAAGTTCGACCAAATTTCCGCCCAAATCGGCCACTGCTAGACTTCATCGTTGGTGGAGAGTACCCTAAGGCCGATTCTGTGATCCATCGCCTTCAAAATCCAAGGAAAATGGACTTTCCAAAAATCGCCCGAAATCGGTGATGGTACCCCTTTCGAATCTGGCAAAAATTGACCCGGAAGTTTTCAGCCCGAATCGGTGTTTAATAGACTTATCCATCCCTAAAGAATAGCCTCAGGCTGAATCCGTGATCTGCACACTTCAAAATCCAAGGAAAATGGCCTTTCGAAAAAGTCGCCTGAAAATTACGAAAATGCCCTCCGGAAAAGTTCGACCAAATTTCCGCCCAAATCGGCCACTGCTAGACTTCATCGTTGGTGGAGAGTACCCTAAGGCCGATTCTGTGATCCATCGCCTTCAAAATCCAAGGAAAATGGACTTTCCAAAAATCGCCCGAAATCGGTGATGGTACCCCTTTCGAATCTGGCAAAAATTGACCCGGAAGTTTTCAGCCCGAATCGGTGTTTAATAGACTTATCCATCCCTAAAGAATAGCCTCAGGCTGAATCCGTGATCTGCACACTTCAAAATCCAAGGAAAATGGCCTTTCGAAAAAGTCGCCTGAAAATTACGAAAATGCCCTCCGGAAAAGTTCGACCAAATTTCCGCCCAAATCGGCCACTGCTAGACTTCATCGTTGGTGGAGAGTACCCTAAGGCCGATTCTGTGATCCATCGCCTTCAAAATCCAAGGAAAATGGACTTTCCAAAAATCGCCCGAAATCGGTGATGGTACCCCTTTCGAATCTGGCAAAAATTGACCCGGAAGTTTTCAGCCCGAATCGGTGTTTAATAGACTTATCCATCCCTAAAGAATAGCCTCAGGCTGAATCCGTGATCTGCACACTTCAAAATCCAAGGAAAATGGCCTTTCGAAAAAGTCGCCTGAAAATTACGAAAATGCCCTCCGGAAAAGTTCGACCAAATTTCCGCCCAAATCGGCCACTGCTAGACTTCATCGTTGGTGGAGAGTACCCTAAGGCCGATTCTGTGATCCATCGCCTTCAAAATCCAAGGAAAATGGACTTTCCAAAAATCGCCCGAAATCGGTGATGGTACCCCTTTCGAATCTGGCAAAAATTGACCCGGAAGTTTTCAGCCCGAATCGGTGTTTAATAGACTTATCCATCCCTAAAGAATAGCCTCAGGCTGAATCCGTGATCTGCACACTTCAAAATCCAAGGAAAATGGCCTTTCGAAAAAGTCGCCTGAAAATTACGAAAATGCCCTCCGGAAAAGTTCGACCAAATTTCCGCCCAAATCGGCCACTGCTAGACTTCATCGTTGGTGGAGAGTACCCTAAGGCCGATTCTGTGATCCATCGCCTTCAAAATCCAAGGAAAATGGACTTTCCAAAAATCGCCCGAAATCGGTGATGGTACCCCTTTCGAATCTGGCAAAAATTGACCCGGAAGTTTTCAGCCCGAATCGGTGTTTAATAGACTTATCCATATTAATATAATAGCTAGCTTAGTTCGATTTTCCATTCACTCTTATGTCGGATTCTGTACATTGCAAATTTCCTTTGAAGTACCTATCGACAATTACGATCGTACTGCCCTGACAACAATTCAAGGGGACAAATTTTTTGGAACGTTGAATGCTGATAAAAATAGGTTATAGAGAGGACACTGGATATGAAAACCGAAAAGGAAACGCGACGGGTTCTATATAATGTAAATGTGCGCCGGCCGGCCACTTGATTCATTTAAGATAGATACGTATTGTGGATGCTAAAGCCGGTCGAAAGAGGCAAAGAGCAGAGTATGAGATTCCTCCTCCACCACTTATGGTTTCTGGTTCTGCAGAGCTGACGACGACGACATTTTTCATTTCCATTCTGCAGGGAGCAAAACGAAGATGGCAAGCTCGACCTTCCTCTTAGGGCGCTACCCGCGAAATCGTTGCTATTATTGACAGCAGATCGAGAAGCAAGCAATACATCGATGAATCAGGAGAGGTGATTCCACACAAAACATGCATCCACAATTAAGTCAAAGTTACTAAACCACTCTCTGCAAAAAATAAGACAGGATATGGAATCTGAGGCAGTAAGTTGGTGACGATATGGTATCAACACATCATTGAATCAAGTAAAGTTATGCTAAAATTAAGCTCATGAACTGCAACTCCAATAGTTGGAATCAAACTACAAGAGCTTACAAAACAAAGAATAACTTTTCCCTCCACAAGATACTATACTAGAACATAGATACAAGCTCTCTAAAAAACGAAAGCACAAACAAGCATCAGCTACATTTCTCAATATGATAGAGCATGTTTCCCACCAGAAATCAGGTGGCTTATGAATAACTAAATCAATCCGACGAATTGATACGAGCCCAAGTTACTCAAAACTCAGAACTAGCAAACTCGTCAAAGACAATCCTACACAAATGCTTCAATTTTCTACAACATAAGTCTCTGTGTTCACCACATCGATTACTTTTAATATCAAACGAACCTCTGACAACTCGTTGTTTGCAAGAACCCCGCAATTGAGAACAAACCCTGATTCTATGTGCCAAAGGCTGTACAATCCACTCAATCAGCTAGTTCTGTTAACACAGACATCATGATGCATCAAATTCCAAGCAAAATGATGGCTCAGAAACTGTGAGTTCACTCATGAACGACCAAGCAAATATAATCAACCATGTCGCAGACAATGCAAGCTTTAAACAATTTCTCAACAGCATTGAAGCACAGGATTACATAATCTTTAACAAACTCGGCAAAGCAGGAGATAAATAACAACAGATAATCGAAGCGCAAGATAAAGACTAAAGGCGGGGAAGATCTACTAAGTGTTTTACTCTTAAGTGCCTCGTGAACAAGGTCTTTGATATTTATCCTCAGCACAGAAGCAAGGCAACAGAAAGAGATCAACCAGGCAAAAAGAATTGAACATTTCACGAACCACCAACTACGCCATTGGCAATGAAACAAACCAAATGATAATCGCATCACAACCTAATGAAATCTACTATAACAATACTCAAACGCCCTAAAGAGATTTCATGTACATCATCTACCCCATCCTCAAATCTTCTCTTCATGAAGATTGCATACTAGACAAATCAGCAGATCATAAAAAACAAGCAGATGAGATCCAAACCCCCCCCCCCCAAAGCCCAAATTCTTACTCTTAAGAGTACACGATGCAGCGCTTGGGAGCTCCGGTCAAGTTCCCAGAGCCACCATTCCCGGCGAGACGCATATTGAGATCGAAGCAGTACACCTTAAGCAGACGCCGCCTGGCTCTCAGCTTGCCATACTTAAATCCAACACCAGCCACCACCTTCAAATTGAAAGTCACGGAGCCGTGCTTCCTCCTCTCCTCGTCGACCGCGTCGGTCACCGACTGGTCGACGAAAGTGTTGATGATCGAGAACTGCGTCTCCATCACCGTCAGATTCTTGTGAACCTGGACGAACGGCTGGAGCCGATTCTCCGTGAGGAACACCTTCTGGTAGAGCACCGAGGCCTGAATCACGTCGTACTCGATGTCCATCTTCTTGTTCGGATTGTAGACCTCGAACCGCGCCGCCCAGGTCCCGGAGAGCTGGTGGCCGGAGGAATTGAATCCGGAGAGAGTGAAGTTAGTGAGGCGGAACTCGGGGACGCGCGGGCGGATTACGATCCAGCTGATGAAGAGCGCGGTGAAGAAGATGACGGTGATGACGATGAAGACCATGATTAATCGGCGGTAGAGAGCGGGCCGGGCCTGGGTGTAGATGGGGCCCTGCCCGTTGCTAGGGTTGTTGTAGTAGTAGGGATTGGAAGGCTGCGGCGGAGCTTGGTAGGGATAGGCGGTGCCGGTTGGAGGAGGATAGCCGTTGGGGCGCTGTTGATTGGGAGGGACGGGGTAGCCGGTGGCTGGTTCCATGGCTTATGGCGGTGAATCGCCGGCGGGGAGGTGGAAATTGGGGGAAGCGGCGAGAAAATGGAATTGCGTTGGGGTGCGGGGAAGTGGCGGTGAAGTAGAGAGAGGAATCTAGTAGGAGAAGGAAGGAGAGAGAGAGTCCGAGTTAGTTCCGAGTTCCAACTTGACGGATTTTTGCCGTCTCTACGCTGCTGTGATTTAGCCATTTAGCATTTAGATTAGGCGTGGCGTTCGATCCGGCCTGATTCGAGGTAGATCGGTAATGCGTTCGGAACTGGGCGAACCAGTGTTGATCCTGGGGCTCGGTTATGGATTTGGATCGAGTCGATTGTTAGTTGATGTGGCTTGGTTTTGGGAACAAGTAGGGATGTGAAATGATTTGGTCCGTACCGGTTCAAATTGATATTTGGACCAAATTATATCCAATTGAATGCAATATTGTCTTATTATTTGTCCTTTGAATGTTATAAATGTAGAAAAAATAGATTGTATTGACATTTGGATTGGTCCAAACCGAACCAAATGCAAATACGATCCTTGGTTCTAAGATGTACTTTACTATTGAAGTGCGGTTCTTATGAGTTTGTTCTTATCCGTAACAACAGAATTTTCGCAAGATAAGAATGGAAATAATTAATTGGTATTAATTATTAAATGAAATAATAAGTTTTTGGGAATTCATTTTGAAATGGGTTTTTTGTGTGTTTGGAATGTATAAATGAATTCATCTTTAATACTAAATTTTGCATTATGCGGAATTGAGGTTAGTTTTAAGAATTCTGAGAAATTGAGATGAAATTTCACAAGTATTTTACTAATTATGATACAATGAGATAATTGTTAGCAACTATGAAGTAAATTATCCCTAAAAAAAAATATAAGTTGGCACCAATACTCCATATTTGGGTGCCTAACCTTCTTCGCCTAGCCGCTACTTCACCTAATATAGTAATATATCATCATCATTTGGCTCCTATATTCTCTTGTGTGTGTTCTAATCGACTATCTCACATTCATTCTTATGCTAAGCTGCAACACTGATACTACTTATTATTCGTCGTTTTGGATTGATCGGATTGGTTGTATGATAGTTTTTACACTTTTGTTTTTAAAGATGGATTTTTAATGAGTAATAGGCTATAATAATATTGTTTCTACTGTAAATTAATAAGGGTATAGTTTAAAACTTTTAATTTAATTCAATTTTGAACGTATCTCAAACATGATTTGAAAATGGGTTAATACCTTATTTTGGCCCGAACTATGACCATATAATCAACTTTGGCCCGTGGTTTGAGAAATTAACATCCTGACCCGAACTATGCATCATATATAATCTAATTTGGCCGGAGTCGTGTTTTGACCGTCAATTTGGACGGTCAACGCTCCAGCTCACCCCATGTCAACAGAAATAAATAAAAAATTTGAATTATTTATTTATTTTCTAATTTCCTTTAGCTATTAAGATAATAAAGAATTGTAAGGAATTAAATTTGGCCCAAAATTAATCTCTCTTTCGTGGACACGAGAGAGGGGAGGTAGTTCTCCTCAAAACCTGAATTCCCGCCGCCTCCAAACCCTAACTTTCAATCCATCCTAGCCCCAAACCCTCTGAGACCCGAAGCTTTCCCTAATCCCGGACCATGGAAACTCTGACGCTTTCTGCATCACCGCCAACGGGAAGCTCCTTTTCGACGACTCGATCCCCATCGGAGGCCCCCATGTCACCGCTCTCTACCGTAGTGGCGGAGGCGATGCCAGCGCGACGGGGTTGGCGTGGAAGGGGTTCTGGGCGAGTTAGAAGCCGCAATCGTCCCAATTTTCCCGCCGAATCAAATCCAACGACGACAAGTAGAAGCCACAATCGACTGGGTCCCAGCTTCAATTCACAGTTGCATGTACGAGGAAGAGATCTAGATGGCGTGACTGGGGTCGTCGTGGAAGGGGTTCTGGGCGGATGACAGAGCGGGGGGCGAACTTGGATTGGATGTGGTGAGGCAAGGGGAGAAAGCTCAAGATCAATTCAGAGGTGGGGGTTTTGGTTCGCCGGTGGAAGGACATCTCATGGTGGGAAAGGAAACTGCGGGAGAAGTAGGGAGCGAAGAGTAGGGAGTCACCAATTTCGGATCTAGGGCGAAGAAGAAGAAGAAGAGGTGAAGCATGAGGCGGGGAAAGCAAACAGGCGGGGAAAGCAAACTATGAAGTAAATTATCCCTAAAAAAAAATATAAGTTGGCACCAATACTCCATATTTGGGTGCCTAACCTTCTTCGCCTAGCCGCTACTTCACCTAATATTTCATCATCATTTGGCTCCTATATTCTCTTGTGTGTGTTCTAATCGGTCGACTATCTCAGATTCATTCTTGCTGCAACACTAATTATTCGTCGTTTTTGCTTGATCGGATTGGTGACTATCTCAGTTTCATTCTTATGCTAAGCTGCAACATTGATGCAACTTATTATTCGTCGTTTTTGTTTGATCGGATTGGTTGTATGATAGTTTTACACTTTTGTTTTTAAAGATGGATTTTCAATGAGTAATAGGCTATAATAATATTGTTTCTACTTAAATTAATAAGGGTATGATAATCAAATCTGCATTGACAGATAATAAAAAAAAAAAGGGTATAGTTTAATACTTTTAATTTAATCTACACATAATATAATACACCGAAGGGAAAAACGGGAGCCACATTTCAAATTTCCTGCAACGAAAGTGAAAGTAGGAAGGGCATTTTGGTCTTCACAATTACTTTTTTTTATTCATTAAAAAGGCACGTACTGGGATTCGAACCATGACCATTTTACAGAAAAGCAAGGATCATAACCAATCACACTAATTAGTACATTTGTTGTATCTGTTTAAATTAAAAACATACAATTGCAAAGAGGAAAAAACTCTTCCCCCATTCAAAATCCAATGCTCCATGAGCGTTTGTAGGAAGGGTAGAATAGGAGTGTCAATTTTTTTTCTCTTTCCTCTGTGGAACGGGCCAACTTACCGTACACATGCGCATTTAAATGGGTCCTGGAGTGTCAATTTTTTTTCTTTAAGCCCTTTTATTTGTCTGTGGTGATAAAGTATATATGAAAACGTAAAAACAATACTCCTTTTTATTGCTAAAAAAAATTAACAATAAACTAATGCATGGTATCTGATGGGCTAACCGCTAACCATAAAATAAAAGAGTTGAATGGGCCTGACCTACACGGGATTTGGCCATCAAGTAAAACAAATGAACATCATTGGTTTGTCATTCTAAAACAAGCTATTTTCTCTGGTATAATATATATCATGCTATTATTTTATATCTTAGTGGCTAAAATATAATATATTTTAAAGTTATTCAATGGTTCAACCTCGACCAACCCAATTAGTCCAATTTTTATCATTTCAAATATATATTATATAATTATTTGATATCATAATGACAAAATTATAGTGTATTTTATAGGGAATCGTTTGGTATTTGTAAGTAAAAAACTAAACAGAAAGATCTATTTGGTTATTTTAAACATTAAAAAGATCCTAAACATTTTCAGTTCCTTTTGAATTTCTATGGTTTTATTCTCGAATAAGTGATGTGCAAATGGCGAATTGCAGTCATCTCTTTTCTTTCACTATTTTTTATTTTAAAATAGAAATTTTAAAAGTAAAGAATAATTAGAATTTGGCATGGGTCGGTCAAACAGGCTGAATTTCAAGTTTTGGCCCGTTTTGATCAAGTCTAATTTATAATCACATGGTTCCCTGATACCCGATAAAAATCTCAATCCAAACCAGTTTGGCAGGTGAGTCCGTGTTTACCACAATTTTCTAGGGATACAACAACTATGGTTCTTATCCCAAATCGTGTTGTTCGTTCTTGATTTTCTTAGATTTTATCATGGCTTGCCAAAAACTGGAAAGCACAATGACGACAAGATGAAAGTTTTATAAAGCAGAGTAATCGGCCAACGGGCCGAATAAAAGCTAGCAACGATTGTGAGATGCTCATTTCCCGAAAACCGACGGGATAGGAGATTTTTTATTCGATTTTCTGGAATTTGGTTTCTATAAAACTTACTCCACCTCATCATATTACCAGAAACAATATTGTTTCACAAGGTAACAAGTACTTGATTTTGGTTCAGAAGGCCGATTTTTTATTCGTTGCATCATTCATGTCTCTTTCCTGCTAAAATTCACTATTTTTATCCGGTGTTTCCCAAAAAATAATAGTGTATTTTATAGGGAATCGTTTGGTATTTGTAAGTAAAAAACTAAACAGATCTATTTGGTTATTTTAAACATTAAAACGATCCTAAATATTTTCAGTTCCTTTTGAATTTCTATGGTTTTATTCCCGAATAAGTGATGTGCAAATGGCGAATTGCAGTCATCTCTTTTCTTTCACTATTTTTTATTTTCAAATAGAAAGTTTAAAAGTAAAGACTAATTAGAATTTGGCATGGGTCGGTCAAACATGCTGAATTTCAAGTTTTGAGCCGTTTTGATCAAGTCTAATTTATAATCACATGGTTCCCTGATACCCGATAAAAATCTCAATCCAAACCAGTTTGGCAAGTGAGAATGTGTTTACCACCATTTTCTAGGGATACAACAACTGCGGTTCCTATCCCAAATCGTGTTGTTCGTTCTTGATTTTCTTAGATTTTATCATGGCCTGAAAAAAAATTGGAAAGCACAATGACGACAAGATGAAAGTTTCATAAAGCAAATTAATCTGCCAACGGGTCGAGTAAAAGCTAGCAACGATTGTGAGATGCTCATTTCCCGAAAACCGACGGGATAGGTGATTTTTTATTCAATTTTCTGGAATTTGGTTTCTATAAAACTTACTCCACCTCATCATATTACCATAAACAATATTGTTTCACAAGGTAACAAGTACTTGATCTTGGTTCATAAGGCCGATTTTTGATTCGTTGCATCATTCATGTCTCTTTCCTGCTAAAATTCACTATTTTTATCACGTGTTTCCCAAAAAATTATAGTGTATTTTATAGAGAATCGTTTGGTATTTGTAAGTAAAAAAACTAAACAGAAATATCTATTTGGTTATTTTAAACATTAAAACGATCCTAAACATTTTTAGTTCCTTTTGAATTTCTATGGTTTTATTCCCAAATAAGTGATGTGCAAATGGCGAATTGCAGTCATCTCTTTTCTTTCAATATTTTTTATTTTCAAATAGAAAGTTTAAAAGTAAAGACTAATTAGAATTTGGCATGGGTCGGTCAAACAGGCTGAATTTC